TACTAGAGTCTCAAATGATAGTTCCTCATCTTCTTACACACAGGCATAAGTATACAACTGCAAAAACTCTTTTAAAGGCAGCTTTTCCCTAATTAGTAAGGGGAAACCCTAAATCAAAAGTTAACTGAGCTTCCTTCAATTTTGTTTTTCCCCAAGAATATTTTTTACTAAATTTTTACACCCTCTAAGTAGAATACAGTATCTAATACAGACTAAAAATATGTATTAAAGGTCATGATGTCTATAACTACAATACCATCTGAAATGACACAGTGAATCTTCAACAGCCTTATCCAAGAGTTTAAATGGCATCTAACATTCACTTCAACATATACCATAGTTGCGGAATAACAACACTTCAACAAGTATTTGACAGCTTTAAGCCTATGATTGGCCCTAACATAAGTGAGAGAAAATAGTATAAATAAAGTTCTAAAAAGAGCTGAGAAAAGGGACCAAAAGGACTTCCCATGTGGGGAGTTGGGATAAACATGATAAAGTCACATAAGCAAAGGCCAAAACATACACATAAAAGAAAAACACTTAGACAATCTGGAACCAGTAATCATGTAAGGAAATAGTAGGAGGAAACAATAGAAAGAGAGGCAGAGACCTTATTGTGAGATTCTGAATACTAAGAAATTCAGAAATTTTCAAAAGGTAATTGTAATTATCTCTGCAACAAAAGCCAATATAGTCATTCACTTGGTAAATTTTTGAACCCACTTCATGCCATCTTTAAAATTTTTTTTTTGCCCAAGTTTACCAGTTAATATTTCACCTTGGCACCTATAACAAAAAAATACTGTAAAAAATCATCTCAAGGTTCAATACAAAGCATGGCAATTTTATTAATGATTGCATAGAATCTAGTGTAGTTGTAAGAGTGGCTATATTATTCTATCCACTTTCTATTTTTTTTTCTGAAAATATTCAACCATACCTAAATTTAAAATTGTATTTTGTCTTACCACTCTAATGACATTAGGTATTCCTTGAGATTGTTTTCCCTATTCAAACTATTCTTCCCACCTCCTATTGCTCTCCCCAAGTCCATCTGGGGAACAATGTTTACTTACATTTGAGAGTAATAAATGATAAACCCGAATCATATTTCTTTGTCCTTACCATGGAACACACCACAGTAACTACACAAGAGAAGATGGGGTAATAAATTAATCTTTGGGCTCTTAACAAAAGTATTTCTGCAAAACTCTTACAAGTATAACCACCAAAAGTAGGAAGGGAGCTGAATGTGAGGGTGCACACCTGTAATCCCAGCAAATGAGGGAATTGAGACAGGAAAGTCTCAAATTGAAGTCCAGCATGGGAAACTTACCAAGATCATGTTTCTAAAAAGTAAAAAAGGACTAAGAGCATGGTTAAATAGTATAATGCTTGCTGTGAGAGATCCAGGGTGCAATTCCTAGAATGGGAGGAATCCTCTTGCCTCAGCCTGCCAAGTGCTGGGATTACACATATGTACTGCCAGCTAAGTATTTGTTGAACAAATGAGTAAGAAATTTTTTGTTGTTAGAAGAGAACCAAAGGCATTATTTATTTTACTTTTTCTGGTGCTAGGGATCAAATTCAGAGCCTCTTCCATGCTAAACAGGTATTATTACCCTAAATTTATTATTACCCTAAATTTCACACTACACCTCTAGCCTGAAAAAAATCTCTATTTGGAAGAGAACAGAAAACAAGAAAGACTAAATGGCCTGCACCTCCTCTACCATCTCCTCAAAGTGTTACCTTCTGTCTAGTGGCATAAATATCACATAGGTCCCTGTTAAATCAGCTGCCCACTCAACATCTATTCCATTCACCTTCTATATTTGAAAAAAGATCCAAAGGTCAAAGGCAAACACAGTATCACATGCCTGTAATCCTAGCACTTGGGAGGCTGAGGAAAGAGAATCTTTAGTTTAAGGTCAGCAAGTTCAAAGTCAGTCTTGATAACACATAAAAACTTTGTCTCAAAAAACAACAAAAAACAACAACAACAAAAAAATCCAGGTGAACAACAAGTTTGAGAAATACTACTGTAAATCTATTTAAAGAACATAAGTTTTAGAAGGGTCAAGATTCAAATCTAAGATCTGACAATATTATATTCATGAACTGGGACAAATGTATAAATCTCTCAATTTCCTCAGCTTTAAAATTTAAAATAGAAGTTACTTAAAAGAGTTGCTATTATGATTAAATGGAAATCCAAATGTAGCGTTTGGTAGACTGTAAAGAAAATAGAATGTATCCAGTGTTAGCTGTTTTTATTGTTGAAATCCCCTCTACTATGAGGCCTTATAGAATAATTGTGGAATTGCACATCAAGAAAAACTTTACTAAAGAAATAATGTTTGCTTTGCTCTCTACTTTATATAATGCTTCTCCCACTAAGATTAGTGTCAAATAAAAAAAGAGATTAGTATCAAATATAAGGTCTCCTAACAGGAATAACTGCCTCTTAAATTTCTATTATCCTGACCTTTTTTTCCAATAAATATTCATTTTTATTTTAATTGTGTACAATAAGCAAATATGTGAATAAGCAAATAATCAAATAGCAAATAATCAAATAATCAACCTGAATAACCAAATCAAAAAATAATATCAACTTTAAATGAGGAACTAATTCTTGGAGAATGCTACTAAAACTATGAAATTAAGAGGGAATTTTAATAGAGGGTTCAGACTACTTTAAAATTACTACACTTTAATGAAGCACCCTATATATTTAATTTTAACACACAGAAAAGAAATTTTCAAATCAGAAATATAACTTATAAATAAAACCACCACAGATATTTGAAATTATAAAAACAATGGAGAAAGGTAGGCAAAAAGGAGAGTTTTAGATAAAAGTAATGCTTAAAATGTAGCAACATTAAGTCTAACATGGAAAGGTTTAATTATGTTTTCAAGCAGTGCTCCCTGTATGAGACATGAATAGTTCACACATCATCAAATAAAGTAAAAAAAACGTTTTTTGTTCCAAACAGTAAATATGTTTTCAAGCAATGCTCCCTGCAGAGGAGATATAAATACTTCACTCATCACATAAAGAAAAAAAAACTTCTTCTTTTCCAAACAGAAAAGGTAAAAAAAAAAAAAAAAGGCAAATTAAATGCCTCGAGTGGAATAAAACATGACAGAGCAAGTAAATTCCTTCCCCTGTAACTAAAAGTTTGTTATCAATGACAAATATTAGTCTCTCTTTTTTTAGTGGTTAAACTTGGTTCTTTCTGTATTATTATTATTATTATTATTATTATTATTATTATTATTATTATTATTATTATTATTTTGGTACTGGGGATTGAATTCAGGTCCTTGTGCTTGCCACGCAGGCAACAGCACCACTGAGCTAAATCCTCAGCGCAAACTTGGTTCCTTTGGGAAAGAAGGTCTTATCTGCCTATTTAAGTAAATCAGAAAATTCAACCAGCCATCAGTTTTTTGTTTGTTTTTCTTTTTGGTTTTTTGAGGCAGGGTCTCACTATGAAGTTGAGACTGACCTGGAACTCATTATGTAGCCCAAGCTGGTCTCGAACTCACAGTGATCCTCCTGCCTCAGCCTACAGAATGCTGGGATTACAGGCGTGCACCATCACGCCCAGCAGCCATCAGTTTTAATTACAATTAACATAAACTTAAGAGCCTGCAAAATGGAAAAAAATATCCAACTAAAAACTTGACTGGCCAGGCATTATGGCAAATGCATGCAATCCCAGCTACTGGGGATGCTAAAGCCTGAGGATCACTTGAGCCAAGTTCAACAAAAAACCTCAACAGTATGGTGAGTACTGAAAAACAAATAAAAGATGGACAAGGACTCAATAAACATTTTTCTGAAGAAGATACACAAATGGGCAATCAGCACTTTAAATACTATCAACATCCTTTGTTGTTAAGGACTGATTCATAATGAGATACCACACTTCACAAGTACTGGCAAGAATATGAAGAAATTGGACTCCTTATATACTTCTGGTAGGAATGCAAAATTATGCAGCTGCTATGGAAAACACTAAGGCAGTTCCTCCAAACTTACTATATATAGTATTATTAGTCTTATTGTTTTGGTACCGGAGATCGAACTCAGGACCTTGTGATATGTTCCTAAAAGAGAGCAGGGAATCCAAAAGACACTTCTGCATTTGTATTCACAGCAGGATCACTTATGATAGTCAAAAGCTGGAAGCAACAGTGTCCACTGAGGGATGAAATGATAAAATGTGCTATATACATACAACGGAATATTACTCATCCTTAGAAAGGATGAAAACTCGGACACATGCTATGGTGTACTTGAAGATATGACACTAAGTGAAGTCAGTCATTCATTAAAGGACAAATACCAAAATTCCCAGGATACAAATTTACAGAGACAGAAAGTAGGTGCCAGGGGTTAGGGTAACAAGAAAACAAGGAGTTAGTGTTTAAGAGATGTAGAGTTTTACTTGAGGAAGATACAAAAAGTTCTGGAGATAAATGGTTATGATCGTGGTAAGCATGGTGTGGATGTATTTAACTATATACATTAAAATGGTCAATTTTGTTTTGTGTATTTTTCTCAAAAAATTTCATTATCTTAGCATTTTAAATTAGTAAAAGATAGGACCCGAGTTCAATCCCAGGTACCAAAAAAAAAAAAAAAAAAATTAGTAAAAGATGAAAAAATAACTACTATATATAGCCCTTGGGGAAAATAATAAATAAATTAGTAAAAGATATTACAGGATAATTTGAACTTATTTGATTTAGATTTTTGAAATGTTTTATGTAAAAAAGCAAATGTAATGTTTCCTCTTTTTTAAAAAAATAATTTTATTGGTGCATTTAAGGTATACAATATAATGAGATTTCTTTGTCTTTGAACTAAAAAACTTTATGGAAGGTTCTCAACTTTTCAATCAAAGTTCAAAATTATATAGATGGCTAAGACAGGAGAAGGTATTACAAAACAAAGCAAAATAAAACACACAAAAAAAAACCTTGTTTAGATGTTTCTTCCTCTTTTTTAGTCTCCTCATCCTCTAAGGTAGGACTTTCCCGAGAAGAGTTGTCCTGTTGGCTAGAGTTTTTCAATAGTACAGGATCAATTTGTGCTTTCAGGAGTGCAAGAGTCTCAGCCAACTCGTTTCGATTTCTAAAATGGGGAAAAAACAAGACAACATAAAATTTTTTTCTCCTATTTTGATGAATTTTCTGATTAATAGTATCTTTCTGGAAATTAAAAATTTAAAAACATTAAAAACACTCCAATTAGTAATTAACCCTGAATTCTAAAAATAAGTAGTAAAAAAGCATATACATTAAGACATACTATTTACCAAAGAGAATAGATCAGAACTCTTTACTTATTGCAACGGTAATGTGGATCTCTTTGGCTGAAAATGGAAACAGGAATGATGCTAAATGAAATTCAAAGTTTGCTCACTGTTTAAAGGATTATGTAATCTCTAAGAAGATAAAATCAATATATATGTTGATTGAAATATTTTTAACAAAATAATCCAAGTTCTTGATTCATGTGGAAATAAATTTTCTATCTTCAGTAATGACAGTGTTTAATATTACTATAAATTATAACATTAATTACAACAAAAAGTCAATTCTAATAATAACAGTTTAAAAACAGTAAGAATTTAGTTGCTGATTTTATTTTGCTTATTATAGTTTAGAATTACAACATGGGAATTAAATATGATTCAATAAAGAATAGAAAATATCTAAGATTTAAATCTATAAATTAAATAATTTTACAAGTTTTACAAGAAAAACTGAAGAGGTAGTAGGGTTAATTTCAAATATTCACTTGAATATTTTTTCCTTCTCAGAAAGAGTATGACATTAAAAAGCAACTCCTAGGGCCCAGGGACTTAGCTCAGTGGGCTCTTCCACCTGCCTCCCAAGTGCAAGGTCAAGCTCAATTATCATTACAAAAAAAAAAAAAAACACCTCCTAGAGTAAGAGCTGGAAAAACTTAACTCTACATCTACCACTAAATTAATCAACATCATAACTTCTTTCCCTCATCCGTGTTCCCAAAAAACTATGTATGCATTTATCACATTACTGTGATTATTAGGATGAAATTGTTGGTTTTCTTTCCTATCATTCACTTGTGTCCTTATCCTATTCCTTTCCAGTTCCATGCTAGCTAGCCTTCATCTTCGCAAAGAGTGATCCTTTGTCTGATTAAGTAGGCTCTACAACACTGTTTAACCAAGGGATGAAATCATGTCTCTTTAACTAAATGGTTGTTCCCAGGGACAAGTGATACAATCTCACATTTGAAATGTTTGCAATGAAAAATGTTTCAGATTTCTAGTATTTTCAGATTTTGGGGGGAATATTTACATATATATAATGAGAAATTCTGGGAATGAGACCCAAGTATAAACACAAGTAAATTCATTTATGAATATAAATTCAGTTGTTTCATATATACCTTGTATTCAAAGCCTGAAGTATCTCAGCCACCCATAGAGATATTTGTGGTTGTTGGCATCACCATCTTGTATATCTTAGTTTATATGCTACCAGTAAATAATCATTTTCTCATATTTATTCATATATAAGTACTTAAAAGTAAAACATATGACATATCATTAACACAGTGAAAAAATTAGGTGTTCAGAATGCCTGCGCCAGTAGTTACATAGCAACAGCAAACAACAGCAGGCTTTCAAGCTCAACCTGTGGTGCTGTATTTTGATTAAAAGCTTAGTAACCATTGTTTTGTTTTTCTTTCTTTTTTTTTTTCAAGCATCAGAAACAGATGAACGACCAGGAAGTGAGTTGTCTAGAAATGAGGAGGCATTCTGCTTGGATGGCTTGATGATGTTTTCTACAGTCATTTACTTCATGAACAGTTCTGTCTTAAAAGTCTCTTTGATTTTATAAACTGAAATGATTTCTTGTTTTGTTAGTTCCATATAGTAAATACACTATAGGTTTACATGAGGTTATCTATAGGTACCTTTTATGTGATATTAATAACATTAACTTCATCATCATAACTATTTTCAAGATTGCTCTGATTCAGAAATAATTTGGTTATTACTTCTTCAATCAATAAATGAACTAAATTCTCATTACTGATGTAAGTATTTTAATATCTCTTTCTTCCAGCTTACTATCAGGCTCTGAAGGGTTTTTTTGCTTTTCTTTTTTGCATATGTAAGGAGTTAAGTGTGAGGCATGGTTGGGCATGCCTGTGACCCTAGTGCTCTGGGAGGCTGAGGCAGGAGGATCAAACATTGGAGCCCAGCTAGGGTACCTTAGAGACAAAGGTTACATACATACATACATACATACATACATACATACATACATACATATACATACATACATACATACATACATACATACAGGGTTGGGGACACACTTCAGTGAAGACCTGGGTGCAAATCCCCAGTGCAGGGAAGGTGTAAGATATCATTTTTTCTCACTTGACACGTGGAGTTCTTTAAAGTCTCTACTTTGTTCACTATCATCACTAAACACAGTCTAAGACAGAGCTTGTGCCAGGCAGGCACAATTGTGTCTCTAGCCACTGTGTTTCAAACATTCATAACAGCATATAAAAAACTGATCAGGCTATCATAACTTTCCACAGAAGGCCACACTGTTTTCCAGGATGCAGCATGTACTTTATTTTTTATTGTGTGTACTTTTATTTTTGGTTTTACTCTTTTTCTCTTTACCCAGCCCAAGCCTGCTCTGTGGAGCCAGTTTCTCCCTCACTCTTCACTCATACTTTTTCAAAGAAACTTAATTACTGTTTAAAAAAAAACAATCAAAGTATTGATCTTTTGAAAACTTTTCACATCTACAACTATTTACTGTTTGAGTGTGCTGTTCAAGAAAGTACTATTTATTATTGAATGGTTAAACTGCAGGGCAAAAGCACAAAAAATCTCTGAGAAAAGAATAGCTAAGTAAAAAGTTTAGATTAGTGAAGCATGTTGTGTTTGGCAGATGTCCTTCCCCTTTCTCCAAGGAAATTGTCTCGCCTTGAGACAATTTTTGCCCAAATTGCTTTTCTTCTCTTTTTCCTCTTACACTGATATTCCAAATAAAAGCCTGACAGTTCTCAGCTTCAGGGCTACTCCTGGGGGGGGGGGTCTCCCTAACTCTGGGTGCTGTCAGTTGAGTACCCCTCTGGGCTTCTCTGTGATTGAAGTAAGTCTCATCTCCAAGTAATCTTTCACTCTGTACACCACCATGGTCATTCCCTGTGACACTAATCTACAGATACTGGTCACATGACTGGCAACAATGAGGGAAAGCATGAAGCATAAATGTTTTTAACAAGAACTTCAGCTGGATACGAGCACCATAGTTTTTGAGGAATAACAAAATCTTTTAATCGTCATCCCTTCCAGTTTCCCTAAAGTGAACATGGGCTGCTGGTCAAAAAGTGTTTTTGAAACCAATCAGAAAGAATGTCCCTGGTGACCCATGCCTTCTGTTGACATAATAATGGACTGGTAAAAAATTCATTCATATAGAACAAGTGAGGGCAGGCTTTTGCCAGCAACAGCAACTTTTTATTTCCAGGTGCCTACACAACGTGCATCCAAGCACAGTTATTTTTTTGTTTGGTTTGTTTTTTTTTTAGTTTTTTGAGACAGGGTCTCACTATGTAGTTGAGACTGACCTGGAACTCACTATGTAGCCCAGGCTGGTCTCGAACTCACAACAATCCTCCTGTCTCAGCCTCCCAAGTGCTGGGATTACAAGCGTGCGCCACGACGCCTGGCTAAGCACAGTTATTTTATCCTTAGCATCTTTCATTCCCACTGGGCTGTCTCACCAGCTGTTGTCAGTGTCTTTCTGGGGCAATAAAGGCAAAAATGATATTTCACCAGTACTTCAGATTTGTTCTGGTGTCAGATTTTTATTAAGGATGACCATGGCAAACTGTTCAATGAATTTATCTGCTAGTCCTTGATCAGATGTTTTAATCACCACAGATGCTTAAAAGTATGTCGTGCTGTATCTTAGATTTATGCACGTAACCTGCTGAATTTGCTTCAGCTTTGAGTTCCTCATAAGACTTTTGCTTGTTTCACGAGCAGCACACCATTAAGTGCCATGTATTCATTATGATGCTGACAGATCCACTTGTAATATATGACTGGATCTTCATTTTTTAGCTGTATACAGTGTTTTTTCTATTTTTCATTAATTTCTGTATATAACTTTCAGTACAAAACTTCCACAATTAATCCTTTTGTTTCTTCTAGTCTTATCTGGTTGTCATTTCAACCCCATGCTCTTTTGGAAGATGTTTTACTCATACCACTCTACAATTTCACTACCAGCTTGATTTTCTATATACATCAGAAGGACTTTCTGATACTTTCAGTATCTTTAAACCACACAGCAGAGAGAATTAAACAAACAAACAAACAAAACCATAATAGTAATGTATGCAGGTCTTGAGCTCACACAGGACATCATGGGAACTTTCCTATGGTACATCTGCCATACAGCACATGCCAATTTTTTACTCTCTCATGGACAGACCTGTGGGGGGAATCTGAGAGCGTAGGGAAAAAATATCACAGTCGAAAGGGGCTAAGTCATTTTCCCTTGGGGATGCTGAATAAACTGTGTCTTACTCCTTCCTATGTTTAAACTGCAACACATCAAACAATGTCACGTGAGGACCAGGGATTTAGCTCAGTAGTTCTGCCACCTGCCTCGCAAGTGCAAGGTCCAGAGTTCATCCACGCTATCAAAACAAAACAAAACAAAACAAACAAGATGAAGTGTGGAATTTTCCACTTGTGGCATCATGTTCATATTTAAGTTTCAGATTCTGGAGTATTGTCATATTTAAAATTTTGAACTTGGGATGTTCAAACTGAATCCTCACTAGGCCTCAGCTTCCTAATCTTTATATAAAAGTCTGGATTCTCTTGAGGATTATCAAATGGGTCTCCTAAAGAAATAAAAAACAAATTGCCAATGATGAATCTTTCATACAGTAAAATGCCAACAAATATATATAAATTGTATATGTGGATTAGCATACATATTTATGCATAATACAAGCATACACAATGAAATGTGCTAAAATTCTAATTATCTGCTAGAACAACAGACTAGATGTTCTCTTTGCGATTGCAAACT